AAAGCTGCCTTACTCTACCCCAACTCCACTATTTATGTTGCGGTGTCTTGAACTCAGCCGAGTCATTGCCCTTCTCTCTCCAGGCAGAGTGCCCACACTAGAGGCTGCTAAAGCAAACACACTTTGCTTAGGAAGCAATCCTATCAAGGGAAGCCTGGATAGGTCTCTGGACACGAAGCAGTGCTGTTCCAGTTCTCATATTATTTCAACATTTCCATCCCAATTAGTCTCAGTGCGTAATATTTCAACTTTTACATTGTTTCTCTCATCCCTAGCTAATTCAGTCATGGCTAACACTGGGTGTCAGAAAATGATGTACACAAAATCTACACAGAACACTATGAAATGTTATTGAGTGATCTTAATAAAGGAAGGATGTATCTTGTTCATGATGGAAAGGCTTAATATTGAAAAGATGTCACGGCTCTCGAAATTAATGGGAAGGTCAATACAATCCCAGTCCAAATCCCACCAGATGATGTGTATGTATGTAGATATGTTGACATGGTGCAACATATCTACACACACCATGTAGCTCAAGAGAAAGCCCTGTCAACATATCTGAGGGAATAGCGTCAGCCAAGGAGCAGACACATGTAGAAATATGGAGTAGGCAAAGAAGCACAAGCACTCTGGCTTTCAGAGACGAGTTGAAGGGATTAGGTGAGGGAAGAGCTGTAGAGGGCACTTGGACAGTTGTTGTTTTCTGAATGTGATGGAAAGAATTTAATAAGGAATAATCCAATTGGATTTTCATTTTATGTAGAGCACTCTAGCCTTCCTTTCACATGCTATGATCTGTATTACAGGCAGCTACACTTTCCAGGCTTCCCTGTACTATAATCTCCAGGGGGGTTGAGCCAATGGAAAAGACAGACATCTGATTGGAAGACTCAAGGAGAGAAGAGGCTGGTCACGGTGGCCCACACCTGTAATCCTAGCACTTTGGGAGGCCGAGGTGGGTGGATCACCTGAGGTCAGGAGTTCAAGACCAGCCTGGCCATCATGGTGAAACCCCATCTTAAAAAAAAAAAAAAAAAAAGGAGAGAAGGGACCAGGGTATTCATGTTTGCTCCTCCCTTATGCAGATTTCCCACTCAATCCCATTCCCTTTCTGTCATACCACTTGTGGCCACTGAAGGTCTCAAGGCTCCAGCTCTCTCCAGACTGCCCTGCCATGGACGATCTCCTGCCACCAACCTCTGGCTTGCGGCTTCTAACAATATTACTTGTTCCCATTGTTTTTCCAGTCTTAGGAGTGGTAGGTGCATATTCTCTCTTGTTTGCTTTTTCGGCTTTCTCATTTCCTGTGTAAAATTATGTATGCGTTGAAAGCTAGATTTGCTCCTTTTCTTCCTTCATTGATATAAAAGATTTAGTTGGAAAAATTAATGAGGAAGTCACTTGGATAGTTTAAGAGAGAAATCCTGAGGATTTGACCTGAAGTCGTGGCAACAGGGATAGAGCAAATATATGTAGTTAATTATCATTTGGAAATACAATTGATAAGACGTGGTTACTGAATGGATATGGTATGAGAGAGAGAGGGAATCTAGGTTTGCTCCTGGTTATAAGTGACTGGGTGGATTGTGGTTTCATCAGCTGAGATCAAAGTACAAAAGGCGCAATGGGTGGAATCACAGTAAGCCAGTGAGTTTACATGTGAACATGATGAGACCCAGCGGGTAGAAGGACACCTAACTGGATTTAATTCTGAAATTCAGGAAAAGGTTAGAGATTTTGGAGTCTCCAACATAAGTGTTATAATAGTGAAAGCTATAATGATGCAAGGAAAGCAGAGCAGTCAAAAAGAAGTGTACTTAGTTTTTAATATTAAAATCCAATCAGTCAAAACAAACACTTTCTTGGCTATTGTACTCAGATCACCCTTACCTACATGGTCAGGCTCCTCTAAGGAGTAGCTGACTTTGCCTGCCTCTACTTTTGCATTCACTATACATTCAGTCTTTTGTAATACAACACAATTCGGCATCTGTCCACGTCATCATTTTCAATCCTCAAAATGGCTGAGGCTATGTCACATTAGGTCACTCCTAATGGCTGTGTCCTAACAACCTTTGTACGTGGCCTCTTCTATGGCTCTTGACACTATTAACCACTTCCTTCTTGAACAGTTCTTTCTCCAATTACTTGATAGTATCAGATTCACCTTATCACCTACTTTCCTCTCTCTTTTTGTCCTGCCTGTGCGTTTAATCCTTGTAATCCACAGCCCTCTTAGCTACATTCTTTCTCAGGACATTATCATCCCCTTTCATGGGACTATCTGATGATCTCTCTAAAGTATAAATCTCTACTTCAGAAACCTCTTCTAAGTTTCAGAAACAACCTTTCCCCGATGATTTGCAGAGTCCCTTAGCAACTCTATTCAGTGTAGTTATCTTTTTCTGCTAACCTTCCTATATGTCGTAACTGGATTAGTTTTACAGTATAGTCACCTCATCCCCAAATGGAAAGTCATGAGTTTCCTTATCTCTTTATCTCCATATTGGATTGATCTCTAAGCCTTAAGTCATATATGATCCCTCAATATTTTGTCCCTTCCTGCTGGTTCAGGCAGGAAGTTCAGTATTTCCCCCTGCACTAGTGATCATGTCATATGCATGCTTTAGCTTTCCAGTTCTTGTCCATTGCCTGGGATAAGATCCAAAGAACTTTGTATGGCCCAGGAGACTGACCTCTGCTTATCTCATTAAGTTTGCTACTGTTCCATTTCCCCCATTCCCAGTACTACCTTCCAGGTTTGTTAGACTATCCTGACATTTTCTCCAAATTGCCATCCTCCTCCTTCCACATATACATGTACCTGGAGAGCTATTCACACTTATGTGCCTTGAGAGCTAATATTTAGCCTTAAGTCCCAGTTCTCCAGTGCTCAGTGACACCACCCCTCCTTCCCAGGCTTGCACATGTCTTCTGCCCTGCACAGCGCCCCAGTGCTTCCATGTATCTGGATATGTGTCCATTTCTATAATACAACAGGCAGCACATTTTATTGCAAGTCTCTGATTTTTCTGCCTCCTCTTGTAGTTTGTTAACTCCTTCATGGTAGGGATGATGGTTAACCTATATTTGCTTTCTTCGTCTTCTACAAAATACTTGGCAACCAGCAGGTGCTCAGTAAATGTTTGCTGTATCACGACAAGTGAACAAGGGCACAACCTCTGTGTAGGAACAGACCGTTGCATGACCTTTCCTCCTGTATCCATGCATGTGACAGCACTCCTTTAGTGTGGAGTTGGTTGGTTGATTAACCCATTAAACATTTATACAGCACCTGGCAGGTTGCAAGCATTTTGAGCAGATATACAAATAAGCTTGTTTGTTTACAAACTGTGTTTTTAAGAAAATTACTTTTCCAAAGCCAGGCACGGTGGCTCACATCTGTAATCCCAGCACCTTGGGAAGCTGAGGCGGGCAGATCACAAGGTCGGGAGATCAAGTCCATCCTGGCCAACATGGTGAAATCCCATCACTACTTAAAAAAAAAAAAAAAAATTAGCTGGGCTTGGTGGCATGCTCCTCTAGTCCCAGCTACTTGGGAGGCTGAGGCAGGAGAATCGCTTGAAGTCAGGAGGCGGAGGTTGCAGTGAGCTGAGATCACGTCACTGCACTCCAGCCTGGTGACAGAGTGAAACTCCATCTCGAAAAAAGAAAAGGAAATTACTTTTCTAGTACAGAAAGCAGCCATATTACATTTTGAATGTAAAGTAGAAGGAAGAGTGGTTATGGCTGATGGAAGACACATCACAGTAAGGCTTTTGCTGTCACTCAGTGACCTTTCATGTCCTGGGCCCTCTCCTCATAATGGGCCTGTCCTTATCACGTTTCAGCCTGGGAATGCCAGTGTGCCTTTACTGGGCCTGACCAGGACAGCCACAGCAAGTGCTGCTGCAAACCAGAACAAGGCCAGGACATAGGCAGGCACCCAAGTCAGAGAAGTGTGATGGGGACAGACCAGGCAAGTATGATGCAGGGAAGGAAGGCATGCTGGGGGATCATGGAGTCCTCGAATATTTATCTTTCCCCGAGGCCCTAGCTCACACTGGGTTTCCCTCTCCTCATCCCAAAGGAAGGCAAGCTCCCTTTTATCTCTTCCCTTGCCAAAATCTGCTCTCAAAAGAGAATCCGAAGTGTATCCACTGTAAATGATAAAATGTACAATAGCTTAAAGATTATTACTTTTTTTTCCAGTTGGTCTTCCTAGCTAAACAGCATAGAAAGATTTAGACTAATGTTCTAAATAGCCAGTTAATGCCTGGATTGTGTTCTAGAAAATAGATTTAAAAACTAAGGAGCCTAACTGAAGCTTCTGAAATTTTACCAGGAAGGTGGTTATCTTCTTTATCTACCAAGTTGGACAATAGGGAGTGGAGGAGGAAAAAGTCAGGGAGGACAGAAGATCAGTCCCAGAGGACCAGGTAGACTAAAAGAACGTCTGGGGTCAGCCCTTAATTAGGGAGAATGAAGGTGTGCAGACAGTGCTCAGGAGAAGAAATTACTTTGAGTGCTGTGTGACAGGACCTTGCATGAGGTAAATATTTGGGTGCAAAAAAGGACAAGGACAAGGAATGCATCCTGGTGTGTGCCTTCTGCATGAGAACACCCTTGCACATCCCCTAGTAGGAGGATCAGGGAGGGGAAAGGGAAGTGGCAGAGGCAAAAAATAAAATAAAAAAAAGGAAGGAAGGAGGAAGGAAGGAAGAGAGGTAGGGAAAGAAAAAGAGAAAAAAAGGAAAGAAAAGAAAGAAAGAAAAAATAAAGGAAAGAAAAAAGAAAGGAAGAAAGAAAAAGAAAGAAGAAAGAAAGAAAGAAAGAAAGAAAGAAAGAAAGAAAGAAAGAAAGAAAGAAAGAAAGAGAAAGAAAGAAAGAGAAAGAAAGAAAGAACAAGAAAAAGGCTCCCATTGAATTGATGGCTAAGGAGGGACGGGGCGGGCGCTGGGAGGAGCCTCAGAAGCATCCTCTGAGCAGCCGCCTCTGAGCACGACGGGAAAATCCTTCCTCCCTCGGACATGGCGCTCACCTGCCCGGCGGCAGCAGCCGGCTCCGGCGCCGCGGTTCGCGGGTCCGGGCGTCAGAGCAGCCCCAGCTTCAGCCGTGGGGTGGAAGGAGGCGGCGGGGGCGACGGCGACGGCGGTGGCGACGGCGGGGGCGCGGCCCGCGGGCCCGGGTGTTAGACCTGAGGGAGCCCGGGGAGCCGGCCGGGGCGCGCAGGCTGCTCCAACCCCGGGGCGCAGCCGGCATGGTGTCCCAGGTGCTGCAGCTGCTCCGGCAGGGCGTGTGGGCCGCGCTCACTGGGGGCTGGTACCACGACCCTGAACAGAGCAAGTTCACCAACAGCTGCCACCTCTACCTGTGGCTGTTCCTGCTGCTGCTGCCCCTGGCCCTGCACCTGGTGAGTGGGGAGGGTCCGGTCTCGGGGCGCTGTGAGGATGGAGGGAAGAAGGAGAAAGGAACCACCGACTTGCCATCAGCCTCAGAGGGGAGAGGGTTCCTAGTGGTCCTTAAGAGACGGAAGGGCTAGGGCTTCGGGAATTTGGGACGGAGAACGTGCAGGGAAAGGGGGCTGTGAAGATTCGCTGGAAAAGAAATGAGGTAGACAGGACTTCGGGGCCTCTGAGACTCATCAAGAATTGATGCGGGTTGTTAGGATGAGTCACTCTGCTTGTGGCAGGGAGCATGCAGCCGGTTTTGTAGGTGGGTAACTCTAGGCCTCAGAGCTGGATGGGTTGGGATAATGTTTGGTGCGAAATACTGTAGATTGTAGCCAAGAGGCAAAACGAAATGTAAGAAACAAACCCATTTCAGTTATTGGTCCTTTTTTCCCCTCTCACCTTCTTTCTTGTTTTGCTTTGAGAAGGCAGGTTCAATTATCAATTTCTCACCTTGTGATTTCTACACCACCATGTATAGCAATGTATAGGAAGATATGATAATGGATAGATCTGAAATCATGATGCCTGGGTTGAGTTTTGCGTCTACCAGTTGCCAGTTGTGTGACCTTTGGGAGGTTATCTACCGTATCTCATCTGTAAAATGAGAAAAAGAAATAGTACCAGATTTACAGATTGTTTTAGGGATTAAATGAGATAGTATAAATAAAGCCACAGGTCTGGCTTGACCCGAGATTGGACTCAAACCTGAGTTTACAGTTGTGTTCTGCTACTTATTAGCTGATGGCCTGATACTGAACTTTTCTAAAACTTAGCTTTCATATCATTAAAATGAATGTGATCATCATAATCACCACTTCATAAAAAAATTAACCAAAAATGTGTATAACAAGAGTTAAATACAGAAACTGCATGGAGGCCCTTCAATAAGTGCAAGTTTCTTTCTTTTTTCTGATTTTGTGCACAATTTTTCTTAATCCATTTTTCCTTAGCCTATGGGTCCCTTTTCTAGAGGGACAGCATAGCAAAGTCACGAGGAGCGCAGCCCTCACCAGGGTGAAATCCTGGTTCTGCTGCTTATTAGACCTAGTGTGAGCTTGAGCAAGCTTTACCTTCCTTGTAAAGCAGGGATGATTATAGTACCTCCCTTATAGGGTGAAAGTCAAACGTGAGTAAATTAATACATGAAAGTACTTCTTAGTACCTGGCACACGCAGAGTGCTCAGTAAGAGATGGTCCTTTTTTTTTCTTTCCTCATCTTCTAAAATCTCTTCATTCTTATGCTTTCTGATTCCTTTTAGCTAGAATTAATTTCTCTTCTCCCTTGCCCTTGTACCATTCTGTATTTACTATTAGTTTTACAGCATTCTGTAGTTAGACTATTATTAGCATTAATAGTACTTTTCAAATTCTGTTGGTACTTAGTTGTTGGAAGATGTATTTCACGTCTATGTCTAGATCATAAGCTTTTTTGAGGACATGTGGCTTTTTATGTTGTTTATTCATCTTGGTTTTTCCTTGTACACAGCAGAGTGCTCTGCATTTGGCAACACTGATCTCATATATAATTAACTGTGTGCCTCTTTCTTTTCCAACCAGCACTAAATAGTCTTCCTCATTATACTTTTTGAAAATTTCCTGATAATGATAGCAATATATATTTCACCTATAATCCCACTCCTCGGAAATAACCACATTAGCATTTAATGTTGTGTTCCTGCAGATGTTTTTTTCTATGCATATGGGCTCATTTTTATAAAACTCTACCTATGTGTACATATGGTCAGAACCCTTAGTTTCTACTTAAATATGCTTTATTGAGTAGCTTGATTTAGATCTTGCATTTGTGAATAGGACATTGTCCTTCATTAACTTGCTTTTCAATGATGTTTAAATGTGATTTTCAGCTAAATCTCAAAATTTTAGAAGTAAAATTATCCTTAAAAATTTTACTTTTATATCAGACGTTAAAAAATAAAACAAGTATGCCCAAATTTTTATATCTTTATGCTGCCATGCCTTTAACTGTTATAAAGTAACTGTATGTGAGTGTAGTTACTGTTATGCTACTTTTTAATATCTAGCCTATCTTATTAATAAGATATTAAAACATGGCAGATTCGTTTTTTCTTGCTTTGGTCTTCTGGTCTCTTAAAGTCCCCTTGAAATAAAAGGTCACCTTCCCCAATGGAGGCTTTGTTCTTCAGATCTTGGTGCTGAAATATATTCCTCTGCACTTCAGTGTTCCCTGTGATTGTTAATATCTTTTTCAATTTGTTCATTTACAATAATTTTTCCAAGAAGAAACCTGACTGCTTACTGACAGCAGGGGCTTAGGCAAAGTTCAGTGAACTTTCTGTTTTTGTTTTTTTCACAATTTTGGTTTAAACATGTTTAATCAAGAAAGTTTTGGTGGGGCACCATGGCTCATGCCTATAATACCAGCACTTTGGGAGGCTGAAGTGGGTAGATCACTTGAGATTAGGAGTTCAAGACCTACATAGTGAAACCCTGTCTCTACTAAAAATACAAAAAATTAGTTGAGTGTGGTGGTGCATGCCTGTAATCCAGTTACTTGGGAGGCTGAGGCAGGAGAATTGCTTGAACCCTGGAGACAGGTTGCACTGAGCTGAGATTGTGCCACTGCACTCCAGCCTGGGTGACAGAGCGAGACTCCATCTTAAAAAAGAAAAAAGGCGTGAGATGGTTAAAAAATCTGGAGACAACAGATGCTGGAGAGGATGTGGAGAAAAAGGAACACTTTTACACTGTTGGTGGGAGTGTAAATTAGTTCAACCATTGTGGAAGACAGTGTGGCGATTCCTCAAGGCCTTAGAAATAGAAATTCCATTTGACCCAGCAATCCCATTACTGGGTATATATCCAAAAGACTATAAATCGTTCTACTATAAGGACACATGTACACGAATGTTCATTGCAGCACTGTTTACAATAGCAAAGACCTGGAATCAACCCAAATGCCCATTGATAATAGACTGGATTGGAAAAATGTGGCACATATACACCATGGAATATTATGCAGCAATCAGAAATGATGAGTTCGTGTCGTTTGTAGGGACATGGATGAATCTGGAAAACATCATCCTCAGCAAACTGACACAAGAACAGAAATGAACACCGCATATTCTCACTCATAGGTGGGTGATGAAAAATGAGAACACATGGACACAGAAAGGGGAGTACTAAACACTGGGGTCTATTGGGGGGAAAAGGGGAGGGCCAGTGGGAGGGGGAGGTGGGGAGGGATAGCCTGGGGAGAAATGCCAAATGTGGGTGAAGGGGAGAAGAAAAGCAAAGCACACTGCCATGTGTGTACCTACGCAACTGTCTTGCATGCTCTGCTCATGTAACCCAAAACCTATAATCCAATAAAAAATTAAAAAAAAAAAAAAAAAAAAAAAAAAAGAAAAAAGGTTTCGCTATTTAATCTACTTTATAACTTAACAGATACTTTGAGTATTTTAAATAAACATTTTTATTATTAATTTTTGAGGGGTTTAGAAATTTATTTCTAACCCCTAGAAGGTACTTAGATCTGGGTGACGATGTGGAAAATAGTGATTTGTTAACATTTATAAACTGTGTATAGATTTGTGAGAAATGTTTGGAAGCGTACGACAAAAAACAGCAAGTCAATTTGGATAACTTGGAAAGAGTTTTACTTTGGGTTTTTATCAAGCTCATTTTCTTTTGGACACACTGAAAGATGATTTGTCTTGAGAGATATTTAAATTGTCACTTATTACATGTGTTTTGTCTTTATTCTTTTGAGATGGTAATTAATGGAGATTCAGAGCAGAGTTTTATTTCCAGAAGGAGCACATGGGCATGATTCTGGCTTTGTGTAAGCTCTGAGAGCACCAGCCTCATGTCAAAAGACACAGTTCCTGTTCTTCCTCTTCTCAGTTGTATGGCCTTGTGCGAGTCATCTTACTTCTCCAGACCTAAGTTTTACCATCTGTAAAATGGGGATAACACTTTCATTTTATAGGTTTAGCAACTGAGGTCCAGAGAGAGTCAGCTGTTTTCCCAGAGTCATCTAGTTAGTCAGTGGTAAACTTCAGCATTTTAGCTGAGGTCCAGTAGCATCCAAGTCTTCGGCCTTTCCCGGACACTATGCTGCCTGACATAGAACATGTAAGAGCACTTTGAAGTCTGAAACAGTGGAGCAACATACAGTGGAATTATGATTATGCCAGTGGCATCATGGTCAGCTCCACCGGAGAGGAAGAGTTGAGTGATGGGAAGAATGGGTGGAACCTTCACATCCTTCCAGAACCCATGAGTGGCAACATTAGACTTGATTTTCCAGGCCTGACAAATACGTTAGGATGGGCAGCCCTTTCCACGCTTGTTTTATGGCTGTAGCTTTCTGTTTCCTTTCCTTTAATTTTAGCCTGACTTGTTCTGTTTCCAGTTGTGCTTTTTAAAATTTAACCTCAGAGACTTTGTTTGATAAGAACTGCATCATTTCTAATTGCTACAATTCTTTTATTTTATTTCATTTTTTGAGACGGAGTCTTGCTCTGTCACCCAGGCTGGAGTGCAGTGGCACGATCTCAGCTCACTGAGATCCGCCTCCTAGGTTCCAGCGATTCTCCTGCCTCAGCCTCCTGAGTAGCTGGAATAATAGGTGCATGCCTGGCTGAGTTTTGTATTTTTAGTAGAGATGGGGTTTAACCATGTTGGCCTGGCTGGTCTCGAACTCCTGACCTCAGGTGATCCTCCCTCTCGGCCTCCCAAAGTGCTGGGATCACAGGTGTGAGCCACCACGCCTGGCCTCTAATTGGTATAATTATAATTAATAGGATTATTCCGTCAAGTGCTGACATGGCACTAGGCAAATAATAAGCACCCAACGCATACTCATAGTTATTACAGCTAGTTGGTGACATTTCTATGATGGCCCACAGCCATTTCCCAGTCTGGTATGTTATTATCTTTTCTTAGGTCTTGCATTCCTCTGTTTTCAAACAATATT